CGCCACGGAGATTAGATATAGAAACAATAAAACAATGATACGGGACATGCTTCTTTCAGCCACAAATGCAAATTTTAACAATCTATTGATTCATTTTCAATATTTAGTGGTGAATCAATTTTACCGAGTAATAACCCAGGCATATTCGGGAAAGTAAAACTTCCAAAATGTTGTGGACAGAAAGCACATTTGAAAGTCATTTGCTTGCAGGCATAATTGTTGAGATAACAGTTAATAATTTCTTTTTTGAAATTCAAAATATTTGTTGCCTGGACTCTTAGCATAACTGGACTCTACTCCCCGAATTCAGCGTTTTTGAACCCAATCATAGTATACTTGTTGCATCTATTTCAGGGTCAGATATATTTCTAGCCGCTGCCTCTGGGCAGTCTCAGTGGTCAGAGTTTGTGAAAAAGGAGCGTACATTGACTGGACGAAGAAGCCTTTACACGGCTCAGATGCATGGGATGCCTACGCTAGATGAGACCGAGACAGAAATGGTGTAACTAATAAGAGCTTCCCCATATGAAAACTGGAAGGGTGGAAGAATTTATGAAGATGAAGAACAAAACAAAAACATGTAATGGCGAGTTATATATAATAAAGGAGAAAATAGAAATGCAGATGTGAATAAAAATATGTAGTTATTAACAATTGTTTTTAAATGTGTAACCCTTATAAAACTTGTCTATTGTTGTTCTACAAGTTCACATAAATTTCACTTATCAACGAAAATAGCGAAATTTAATTAATTCGTTCATAGTATGTTGAAAATGCATTAGTAACCATGGCAACAGGACACAATACTCCATCACAAATCCATGTAAATTTTATGGACATCCAGGGGTATGGAGCTTTACAATTGACAATTTGCTGTAAACTGGAAGATATGGTAGATGTCTACTATGAATTAGTTGGCATACACTACACAAATAACACCAGTTTAAAACTATTTGTCATCAACATCAGGAAATTTTATTTCAATAACACATTTCATTTAAAAAGTTCATATTCATCTAATAGAAATTTACAAACTTTTACAGAAGACGAGAATTGTATTTTGTGCAACCTCATGAAAGATGTAGTGCATGATGGGATACATTTATAGTAAATAAACTTTTTACATCAAACCCCAAATTAATGTAAATTGCTTTACAAATGTGAAGAAATAAGTGTGATGTGAAGAAATAAGTGTGTGATCTGAAGAATTTACTCAGATTGTTCTACAGTGTGGAAATGCATTTCAATACATAAACAGCATTGGAGGATTCCAAATACCATTGCTTTCAAGGTAAAGTTCTCAATGCAAAATGTGTTTGAGTGTGAAGATAGTTTTGAAAATTATTTTATTGCAACACCATTGTACTACATGCATCTGTGTATATATTTGCACATGTGGCTATTTATAGGCACAGTGTCATCAAAACTGACATGTGCGTGTCTACACTTATTTATCATACAACCTCTCACGGTGATGGCAGCTAAGTGCACCTTTTTTTGATACACAGAAAATACATATTCCATCACTCATTACACAGACACAATGAAGCTAATTTTAATATTCACATCATCACATAAAGTGCTGAACTACCGGTAAGATCAAACCAGACTCATAATTTGGATTTTGTAAAAGCGAATCAGACTTTTATCAGCTTCAAAGTCATTATTTAAACATTAATGTTTTGGTGAAGCTCCCCACATAAGCAGTTATCAATTTACACAAAAATGAACAATGTGAAAGAGACCATCAATTGCCGATCCTGCAATTAAGTGATTGATAAATGCTCGCCTCAAATAACAATAAAAAGATCTGGTGTGAATGCTAAACCTCTCTAAACTGACCATCAATGGCACAGCAAGCAAATCTATGGAGTAGAGCAAGTGGTGTTCAGTTTAGACAGGTTTCAAAAGTTAGTGTTCAGTAAAGACAGGTTCAAGGTTACAGTGCCCTATTAGGACAGGTTCAAGGTTACAGTGTTCAGTTAAGACAGGTTTATTGTAATACACATTTATTATTCAAATATATAAGCATATTGCTAAGAACTTTGTGACAAAACCATGGATGGAGAGTTTGATAAATTTTTTATGATGACTCATCATCTCCAGATTTACAAATTATAATTTTACTTTGGGATAAAGTAAACAACCTATTGACCCCTGAATATGAGCTATGGAAACCCCACAACTTGAGGAAGTTGAAAACACAACTAATCAACTCTCTATCAAGGTCATTATCCTCTAAACTGTCAAGAACAAAAAATAAATTTGAATAACATAAGCTGCAAATTGAAAAACGAGTCTTAATTATTCACATTATTAGCAATAATGTAATTGCTGTACTGAAGAAGCACACAGAAGTGCACATCAACAAAATGATGCATGCATTGTACACTAGATCATTGAAACATGTTGTATTTTGACTGTAGATCTGTTATTTACATATAAGTGCATGTATTTCTAATATATCAAACATGCTATTGCGAATTATAACCCTTTGAACATTAAGGTCAACTTTACTAAAAATAATAATATAGTCAGAAATCTCAATCAGAAACTACAAGTTCAATTTCGCACCCATTTGGTCTGAAGAAATAGCAGACAAATATTTTTTAAATATTTCATCAAAAATTTGGGTTTCAAAGTGTTGAAAAGTCAGGATTACTATCAATTCATTGGTCCATTATAAGAAATCAGATGATGACCAGCCAATAGAAATGCCTGATACAGACATACATGTGGTCAGATTGCATCCACCACTAACATGTGACATACAATAAAGAAATTTTAACATTTCTAAAAAATAAATGTTTCAAAACATCAGCTGCAAATACAATAAATTACAATGATAGATAATGTATATAAACAATGATTTACATTGATAATAGCTAACATTTATGTATAGGCAGTTTAATAAGTTTATATAAATATCAAATTATGATTGAAGATGTACAAGGGCATGACACTTATTTTTACATACATGAATGTGATAAGTATTATAAATTTTAAAGACCAAAATGGCCACCAGTCAGCCATTGTTTCATCAAATGGTAATGAAATTGATATGCATATGTAAGTCATTATACACTGTCTTTGCATTAAAAAGTTTGAATATGTGGTCAAAGCATGTCTGAGAAATGGCTCCAGATGGACGGAACCCAAACAAAACAATGTTTCATGTCAGAAAGAGTAAATCACACTACACTATTTGAAATATTTTGACATAATTTTTTCCTGCTTAAAATTTGAGTGCAACAATTTGCATATTTTTATGCCTTTTTCAATAATTGTTTTGTTAATTTTGAACAAAATAGACATAATTTCTCATTAGCTAAACTTTTTATAAAATAGGGAAAACAATTTGGCAGGTTTATTCTTGAAAGGTGGCAAAAGTTGACAGGAATTCGTTTAGTTGACTTCATTGGGATATTCTCTCCCATAATGCATTGTACATATGCTCAGTAACATGTTGATATAAAATAAATGTACTGGTACTTTATATAAATTACAATTAATCCATGAAGAGAAGAGTTATAGAGATAACAAGATAAACATGATTAAAAGAACTGCAAGCTATGATAGCACTTCGAGAAATGAGCCAATGCATTCTTTTTAATGATAAATATGTATAATGAATGTATCCATGCACAAACGCAAGTAGTGTATTTAGAAAAATTAAATAATAATTGCTGATAAATGCCTAGATGTAATTATGTAAATTAAGTCTGAATGCCAGAATGTAATACGTGTGCTGTCATAGAGTGAATAACCCACTGTGTCAACACAGGTGGCGCTATTCAGCACAGACCTGTGTATTATGACGCATAACTAGCCTTTGATGGCTAAATATCCATCCGCCATCAGTTTCTTTCGCGGAACTATATACAAGTATTTCGTTGTTTTGAACAAATTCTCTCCCGATTTTTAGAAGGATTTAATCTTTAATGTTCTATGCACGGTATGTGTCAGATCGGTTGGTTTTAGTTATAGTGAATAACTGAAAAATTGCATTTTTTGGACTTTTAAATTGAAATTGGACAAAAAAAATAAATAAAGTTTTTGACATCTGCTGTCTTACAGTATGGTGACTTATTGCTTATTGTCTTATGGCAGAAATTGACAGCTGTTAAATTTTCATTACTAAATTTTTCAGCAATGATTTACAAGCATTTCCCTGTTTCAAGCAAGGAAAGACCCCAGGTGAAATTTTCACTTTCAAAAAGAAAACTCTGAAGCTTTAACTAAAAATGTATTATATGTGAATAAAATAAAATTTATGATAGTGTATTTTTTATGCTAGAAACAATGTTGTGATATTGCCATAAAACCGTGCATTGCAATTAATTTATAAAAATCAGCACCTTTCAAGTTTATTAGGACAGACCTTGGTACTAAAATAAAATGATAAGATCATTATGAGAGATTGTCATGACAGTTAACATCTAACAGTAAAGACACATCTGTGTTTAATTTTGCTGAACAAAATACTTTTAAATGCCATTTTTCTGTTGGTCTGAAAAGAAAAATATGGAAAACAATATGCAGGTTTATTTTGTTGAAGACCTTATGAAAAGTCTTCTCTGTTCTATTGAATATATTAAAAATAATATACTAGTATATCAACAAAAAATGTGAGGGTTAAAGTGAGTTAGAGTTATATTTAGAATAATGATGGAAAAGCCAATTTGAAATTATCTGTTCAAGCAGTGTTTGGACATATATCTGCAAACAATGGAAAACTTATTGCACCAATTTCCTATTGTTTTTTTTTTTAAAAAAGACGCTTTGAACTTGGAGTAAATAGTTGTATTTATGAAAAAGTGAATTTACTGGCACCATAACTGACTTGAACAGAACAACATTTACACACAGCACTATAGTAGTGTACATAATACAATGTACACAGTACAGAAATTTAAAATACAGCAACAAACTATAAGACCTTGACAGCTTTGTATGTTTTAATATTTACAAATGATGCATCCATATCTGAACATCATCTATGAAATCTACAACATTGTGAATCTTAAAACAAAATGTCAAGCTCCAATCAATAGGCTGTATTCATAAGACTAGAAATGAGACATGGTTCAACCATGTGGTGTGATGATGTGAAAGTGAGTACTAGTAAACAAATAGTTTCACAGTTTGAAACCAACACATCTAACACTGGCCAATACAAGATGCCTAGCATACTAAGCCAAGATAGGTGGCCCGATAAGAGGCCCAGCATCTAATACTGGGACAAGATAAGTGGCCTGGTATCGTTCTCTAAATCTGTGTTGTCTTCACTGTCCACCGTAATCTGGTTCAGTTGATGTTCATGGTTTGAGTTAAGAGCCAGTGTTTTGACTTTGTCTTTCTTTTTAAACCTATGTCTCATAGCATGGTTTACTGTGGCTGCACACATCGCATGGCTTCCGTTATTGACTCCTGTTCTCAAGGAATCTCTGAAAATGGAGAAAAATGCACTCAATAGTTGTTTATACTGTAGATTTCTGTTTTGTTTTTTCTTAATGATCCAAGTAGTAATGCTATCTTTCTTTACTATTTGAATTCAAATTGACCAATCCTGAAATGGTATTGTGACATTATAGTTAGTTTAATGAAAGCGAAAGGATTGTCACCTGCTAAAAATGCAAAGACCTATGGGTAGACACTTGTTTGTAAACAACAAAATGCTATTGTCGTTTGCGGCATTGCGTAGGTGACAATTCCCACTTTTAATGATCTAGTTCAACATCATCAAATCAGTAAAAACTAGTGCTTCATTTTGAGCTCTTGACTCAATCATAAATTTTAATCAATACATTTATGATGGTGCAGCTTTCAGTCGTTCAGCGTAGAATTCACACAAACCAAAATTGTACTTTATTCTTTACTGGAGAATTAAAATACCGGTATGACTAATTTTGACAATCTCCGTTATTTGAGGTAAATCAAGCAAATGTATGTGCTAATAATAGAGCAAATAAATAAATAACTGAAACTTTTAATAATTTTTTCACATAATTATTGAGTGTAATGTTCCTAATATTCCTTGCAATACAATCCAACAATCATTCTTTCATTCTGTGGTTGCTTTTTACCTACAATTGCATTTTACCTGCGATTCATTCAAACAAAATATGTCGTAACTTGTATTATATTGTCACAAAAATCTCTGAACTATGTCCATCCTGGCAAATAATTGTTTTTGTCACTTTTCAGAAATTACTGGTTTTCAATTGTTCAAAATGAATGGGTGTGGCTTTCATTAGGGATGCAGCTTCTACTACAAATTTTTCAGTAAAACTATAAATCAGGAAACACTGGTTGGTATGTAAATATTTCCTCCCATAATCACAACAGTTATAATGATAATAATAATTTTTGGTGGTTTCCTCAAGTACTTACAGTAGCCATTCTAAGGCAAGTAGAAGTCCTAGATCCTGTGTGGGTACACCCACAGAGTTACATATGAGAATAATAATAACCATAGACGCACTCGGAATTGGTGGTATACATAGACACAGAAATGTAGACATGATTCTGAAAATACAAACAGAGAATGTATGAAAAAAATATTAGGTTGTATTATTCCTAAAGCTTTATTGCAATTTTGGGACTATTGTTTGTAATATCTACTTATTATTAATAATTGTCATTGTGCCCAAATATTGTGGTCTCATTGTATTTGCCTTAGAATTTCATTATTATTGATTAATTAGGGGGGGGGGGGGTTTGGTGGCTAAATAGTCAATACTGCCCTTGTATTTAAATGAA